GGGTCTCGTGGGTGGCAGAAGAGGTTGAAGCTGATTCGTCAATTGACACAGTCACTTGTGCCGTCACAGACACGGACGGTCGTCAGAATGTCGCCATGAGACACCTGCTTGTGAAGTGTAAGTGCTTTTTTAATACATCGACCATGGAATCCTGTTTCCTCGGAGTACAGTTTCCTCGTTCCAGTCGGTCCAGTCGCCAAGATGGACAAAGAGAAGGTGCGCGCCTTCGACGATCAATCAGCCGATATCAGCTGTACTGTGAAGGTTTGTTGGATGAAGCCAATTTGTTCCACATGTGAGAGAGTTTACGAGCCACTCATTTAGGGCTTCCCATCTCCGGCAATTCGCTTTGAAATCGACGGCAGAGCTGCAGAAGGAGAGACAAGGGTCAAGGTTGTTGCTATGAACACGTACAGGGCCACACTACACGTGAGTGGCTTTCTTGTGTAATAATAATACTGACATAAGTAATAGTAAGTTATTCATTTCAGCTCCGAAATACGAAGGGTAAAGCGGGCGTGTATTCGTGTATAGCTGAGAAGGACGGCAGTCACTCGGTTGACACTGCTGAGGTAACGAACTATGATCATCTCCTCCTCGTCTTTCCTTTATTTACTACTTTCATTCACCCTTCTCTCTTTTGTTATTTTATCTGCGGTATCAAAGTGAACGTTTTCCTCCTTTTTTAGCTGGTTATTTCTCGCGAGTTGCTTCCTGTTAATCCCAGACTCATCCTGTCATGTTGCGAAGACGAACACATCGAAGGCGATTGTCTTCAGGCTTGCACGATAGGAAAGGTGTGTTGAGCACTATCAGTCACTTCGGTGGCTTACTAGAAATAAGATCATATCATTTAAGACCCCACCCTCCGTGGGCAACTGTTCACAGTACGCTGCGAGTTTGCTGAAATGCGCAACTGACTTCGTCGATCACAGCGATTGCTGCACTCTGCAGGGAGTCTCCAGCAAATGCCTTCCGCTATGTTCCGGTAAGATTTCGCTAGTGGTTCTCAATGCATTCCCAAGTGACGAAAAAGCGCGTTTTCGCGTTTCTGCTCAAAAACCGCTCATCCTTTGCAACAAGTGAGCATGAGACTGATGTGTAACACATTTGCAGGCGATTCTTTCTCAACTGACGTTGACTGCACTCCGTACGCGGTTACGAACTCTCCGGAACTGTCTTGTAGCGAGGCACGAGCGCCCAGTACAACCTGTACGAAATGTCGAGTATGAAGTTATCGGAAGAGGCTTGCTGAGGGTGAGACCGTCATCTTCTTTTGCATTCGCTTCAACCTTTCCGGCCCGAGATCTGCCTCTTTTCGGACCATGACCTGAAAATGACCACATTTTTACAGGTGAAATGGGATGATACTGATGCTGGTGACACCGTTACGTTACTAACGGCATTTACCTACAAAGACGAGATGACGAAGGCGAATCAGGTATGCCGAGGGAAGGTCAGCAACATATGCCAGTAGTGTCAAAAGTGTTCGCCAAATCGTTTCTCCGCTCGCTCTTCCTTTTGGCCCAAAGAAAAAAATCATCAGGGGTGGCCTCGAAAATTTCTTTCTTCTGATTACAATCCTATTATCCTGATTCTTTAAGACTTGAGGATAAAAACACTAGGGTATTAAAAAATATATAAAAATCATGAGAAGCTGAGTTGGGATGAAATGGTGCCCCGGTAGCGTAACTGGTAGCGCACTTGCCCGGAAAGCGAGAGGTGCGGGTTCTAGTCCCGCCTGGGGCGAAAGTTTTGTTCACAACCCAGCATTCTTGTGAAACATTCGCAAGGCGAACTGCGGCCAAAAACAGCAGTTAACAAACAAAAACAAGTCAAAATCATTGCTAAAGCTTTCAGCCTCGCGGTCATTGCCGATATCGGCTAACCGGCTCAACACGTTATACGTGTGAGTGCTGACAAGCTATGGTAAGTATACCATGAAAAGCTGACGAGGAATGGTCAATTGGTCAGTCCGGCCATTTGAAATGAGATGTAGTCCAATGGACGCGTCTTGCGACGCTGAGCTCAAATCCGTTTTCGTTATCTGCGGAACGATTCTCTGAAAGAAGTTACGAGGGATTTTTCTCTTTGTGGCTTTCCCACTGTGGCACCCTCTACATCACCTAGCTCTTTCTTTATTTCCTGTGCAACTGCGAAAAGCTGTTTTGTTTTGATCACCATGTGAAGAACTATCACATATGCTCACAAGTTATTGAAATTTTGTATATTTACGAGCCTGTGTCCTTGTGTTTTGTCCCGTGTGTCAAAGTTCATCATAATAGAAAACCTAAAAAGAAGGACGAGAGGAAAATTCCAAAGTCTGTCTCAGCCATATGTCAAGTGGGGACGCAAATCAACAAAATAACCAAATATAGACACTTTTGGGCTCGTATGAGAAGCCATGAAAAAATGCAAAAACTTTGCGGTTCTAAGGATCCGATCATGTGACCTCTCTCGTGTGAGTCTAGGGAGATATCCACTAGGCCACTTGGCCAACTGTGTGAGATGCTCTCTGGCTCTTCTTATGCGAACCGTGGAGGATAGGGGAATGTAGAGGATGCCACAGTGAAAAAGCCATAGTGAGAAGATTCCCTCGTAACTTCTTTCAGAGAATCGTTCCGCAGATAACGAAAACGGATTTGAGCTCAGCGTCGCAAGACGCGTCCATCGGACTACACCTCATTACAAATGGCCGGACTGACCAATTGAGCATTCCTCGTGAGTTGGAATGAAATGGTGCCCCGGTAGCGTAACTGGTAGCGCACTTGCCCGGAAAGCGAGAGGTGCGGGTTCTAGTCCCGCCTGGGGCGAAAGTTTTGTTCACAACCCAGCATTCTTGTGAAACATAAATATAAATTGAAAATCAATCCTTGAAGGGGCTAACGAGAAAAATTCAAGCACTGGAAAATCGTTGGTTACCGATAGTAAAATAATGGCTATACACTGATGCTGTTTAATGAAAAACTCACGACACATCTCTCCGCTGACTAACATCGAGCCTAACACGCGTATACATCGGATCATTTCGGCCAATGCCTTGGCCAAGTCCATTGCCCTAGACTACGTCCACTAGAGGTTGGGTGAGTGTTCCTTCTAGTTATCGAAAAAAAAACGCTGAAATCATACTTTTCAGGAAAATCAAAATCATCCTCGTCAGGCGGTTCATCAGCATTCTTCATTCTCCTACTTCTTCTCTGCTGCGGATTTGTCATTATCGGTGAGCGTTACCTAAATTAGACATACTGGTCTAGTTCTTAAGAGTTCTTTAGGAATCATCTAACATCTGGTAACCCTAGCGAGATCTATAACCACCATATTGAAAACTGGATTTCCCGACGACAGCATCACCTGCACTGATGACGATCGCAACGTGCCTTTCGAGAATACGCCCCGCCACGTAGATTTATTTATTTTGAATCCCTTAACTATCACGTGCTTGCCATATTTGCGCAGGCCGAGCTGTGATTCCGGAAGTATGTGCATAAAGTTCCGAGCCTTTGGTGGACGCAATGCCACTCTGGTGAGCAACATAGAACCCTCACTGTAGGGCTTTACCCTGTGCCTCGAAGTGGCTCAAATATCTTTGCACAGTGCGACTACGGTTGTCACTCCAACCTCATATAGATACGGTTCCTCAAGTTTGGTTCGTTGTAATTGTCGAACGAGCCATAAATTCCAAATTTTGGTTCAGAGTGAAGCACTCCTCAGCATAAACTTGAGTTAAGCTAACAAGTCCAATCAAATTACATCTTCGGTGTTATAACATCGCCCTTAAATTCTACATAAATCGTTATAGTGATCTATCCTTCTATGCTGGTCACGAAGTGGGAGATCCGAGCGGCGTGGGAACCGACACGGCGAACCGATGCCAGAGTCATGACTTCCAAGCAACTCCGACCAAAGAGACGTATGGTCAATGATAATGCAAACTTAGTCGGCGTGAGCCTCGAGGTATCTGCATACTTGTAGCCTTAAAAACCCAAAATCCCTCAGTGAGTAAACAATCGACAACGTACCGTACAAGAAAATGATTCACTATAGTTGTAATCATGAGGCATTCAGCTGGGACCCTTTGGATCATCTGAGATAACTCTGACATGTTTCTAAAAATTTACATGGATATTTATTATTTGTGCTCAATATTGTTGTATTTCGCTCTCTGGTCAGTTCACGATCGGAGAGCTCGTTATGTTTTAGTCAGTTGATTTCCTTGTTAGTTGCGACAACTACGGTAGACACGGTTTTCTGTGTGTGTGTGGTTTTGTGAAGCGTACGTTGTAAAGGAATGAATTGTTCATATTCTATCGAATCGATCTGCGTTTCTATCGGAAAGGGTAAACACCAAGTAAAGGTGTAGATGTTAAATGACGATAGACCGTTTAGCGGTAATCGTTATTCTCAGGGCACGCCATGCATACCAATTTCAAACAGAATCCTTATCACATTTAACATGTGATTATCACTAAATATTCTTAAGATTTATTCCCGTCATTCATATGACCAAGACGGAGAATTCAGAGAGAAAATGTGAAACGGGCCATGAAGAGGCAGCATTTTTTACAACGTGGCTCCTGTTTGCAAGTAATCGCGCAAGTCCACTCAGCCAACCAGCGACCTTCACAGGAACCAACGGGGCGTGCCAACCAAAATGCGGACGGAACAAATTGGCACATATCCAACTCCTCAAGCGTTTTTTCAAAGGCACTTTTGCTTTAGCGACAGTTCTACTCGAGTCTCGACTAGGGCCTGAGCATCTTTTTACGCGATTAGCAGCAACTCAATTGGGTTGCTACTTTAAAGGCAAGATTCAAGCTTGAACTGACTGGTAATTCCACTCAAATGTGATGTAGGGGTGGGAGGTGGACCGCCAGTGGAGAAAAAAGGAAAGAAAATCCTGAAATACACAGGAAATACGAGCCTTTTGCTCTACGTTGCGGAGAAGTTCAAAAGGCCGGCAGGGAGATGAGAGATAATGTGAGCGCGGAGAGCGGTAGAGAAGTCCGAGAAGAGAGAGCATAGCAGATCAAGCATTGCGACGCAGACAAATATCGAGCGGTGGGCGGAGCGTGTCGCAACAGGTGGAGCGTGTCAAAGTCCTTGGCCCCTAGCGCCTTAGTGACGCATTTGGATGCGGGAACTTGGCGAGTCGCCTGCAGTTGCGTCCCATGCACTTCTAGCCACTTTAAGGGCTTATTAGGTGGGTCTGAGCCCGAACTTTGCCTTTAACGGTTCAGAACAGGAGGATAAAATGGTAGCGGAAAATTGCATTTCGTCCTGCATGCAATTTTACAGACTGTCCTTCGAGAACCTTATTATGTG